GGAAGGAGAAAGTATGAGGAGGTTGGCGGTTCATCTCCGTCGGAGACTCGGCGCATTCCTTGTGGAAGTGACCCAAGTGGCAAGCGGTGCACCAGTAGCCGCGCGTCGACTCTTGACGAGGAACCCGCCACATTGACCGCACATAATGCAGCAGAAACCCGACATGTCGCATGGCGTGAAGACGTGAGGGTGGACTAACTCCTCCTCCTCCTCCTCCATCGTTGTCTGAATTGATTTCACCGTGGATCCCCGGGATTATAGCTGTGTTGTTTTGTAATTAAGAAACAACTATGGTCTCTATTCAACACTTCTCTTGATGTCCATTGACTTCGAATTTCTTCACAAATGTCAATTTCACGTTCATGAATCGTCACTCACTCCCCGGAGATTCCGGCCGTCTTTTACTTTGAAAGCTAAATAATTATCACAACGATCATAATTTGACTCTTATAAGATTTAACATTTTCAACGGCCGTGATTGCTTCTCACGGTGAGCTATTTTGTGGGCCATTAGATTGGTAGGGCCCAATTGCTGATTCAGCTTTTCAGTTAATGGAAATCGAATGGGTCAACATCAGTATTGACTTTGGGCTTCATAGGCCCAATGAGTATGACTCAATTATCATTAGTGGTCCACATAAGGCCCATTTATGGTTTTTGAAGAAAAAAATTACCACACGTGTAGTTGGTTTTTTGATTAAATTTTCCATTGTTTTTTAAAATTGAAATTGCAAATTTTTTGATAATACGTGATTTGCGAAGGGTGGAATTCGAACCCGGGGTGGAACACTCTTTGCGTATACCCATTTACCAGTTTTTAAAATTTTTCCTCTTTATAGATACGTTTTTGTAGGGTGGACGTTTCGAGATTCAGTTCGAAATTTTAACGGTTCGGTTTCGGAAACGATTTATTCGGTATTATAAAATTTATACCAAATTAGTACCGTATATTATTCGGTTCGATATTATGACGGTTCGGGATAGTACGGTACTAATAAATAAGTACCAAATAAGAACCGAAATAAAAACGGTTCAAAACGGTTCGGGACGGTTCGTGATATATTCATATAATATAAAAATAAAGGGAATCAACATAATAATTTTATACAACAAAATAAAAGTTTTGAACTTGTAAACTTGAAAAAAATTCAACATTAATCTCAATGCATTACGCAAACATAACTCTTAATATTAGTAAATATCATAATTAGCTATTAATATTAAATATTTTTTAATTAAAAAATAAAAATACCGAAATACCGTTCGGTATTTCTCGAACCGTTTCCGAACCGTTCAGTATTTCAAATTTCGTATCATTCGCTATTTTTATATAATACCAAACCGAACCGAAACCAAATTAATCGGTTCGGTACGGTTCGAGACTAGATTCCCGAACCGAATTGCCCACCACTAGTTTTTGGTATACAATTAAAATCATGCCGCGTTTTTTTTGTTGGTATTTGTGAATTGACGATTAAAGGCCTGGCGTTGTCAAATTCAGAATTTCCGGAAATCGCAGCCATTGGTTTGAACTTTGAAGTTCCATTAGGTTTCGGTTCGACGGAAAACCAGAAGATGTACGGCGGCGAGTTCGATGGCAGCGCCGCCTTCTCCGGCGGTGGTTCCATGCCTTTTCAGACCACTACGCAGGGCCCTGACTCCTTCTATTCCTACAAGGTAGCTTCTCTCTCGCTTGTATTGCGGTGTTTTAGTGAAGACCGAAAAGGAGAATGAGGTTTGATCGTTAACAAAAAAAAAACGAGAATGAGGTTTGATGGTACTGAAATCGGTCACGTTAAGATTCTGTAGAAGTTTTCTCTTGTATGATTTAGTGACTGAAAAAGCGTTTATTTCTCGGGAAAATTTGTTAGTGGGGAAAATGGTTCTGATATGCGCTTGTGGCTGAAAAAGCGTCCTACTCGAGTTTGATGTGTAATTCATCGGACTGAAGTCCACTATGATTCTGTTTGATTGCTGGGAAAATCATCCAAAATCTGGATGTCGGTGTTGGTAGCGAAATCACAGTAGTTCTTCTGCTCGAGCATTTTAAGGAAAGTTCGTGCTGATTGCGTGATAGCTAGGAGATAGTGCGTGGTAACATTGTACAACATTTCAGCTCTTACGGGATAGCTATCAGAATTTCCTCAATAGAATAAAGATCAATACCCCGTCTCTGATCTTCAACTGTTGTTGGCGACAAAAAAGTTTAAATTAATTCTGGATTCCATCACATTTTTTCTTTATATTATTTATCGGAATAATGTTTTTTTTTTCCTTCAGCCATCCTTCGGTCAGATTGCTGTTACCTTACCGTAGGACCTCCGCCCCCGAAGCGAAGAAAGAGGTCAAAATATATATTGCTATTCCAATGGAATGTTTAACCCAAAAGCCGAAAGGCAATTGAGAGTACAGAAATGAAGATCATTTTCCTTGAAAACAACGGGGAATGGGCAACGCTTTCCACATCGATGGCACAATGGTCGGCAACAACTGATATTCGCAGCAACTTCATAATCATCTTCCCCCCACATAAAGGAATAATGACCAGTCTTCACATATGGCTCTTCTCCCAGAATGCAATGGGCATGTACAGTGACACAACAACTGTCACATGTGTAGTACATTTCCTCCTCTGGTTCCATTTTCCCCTCGCAGATCTCACACCACCAGCTTCCTCCACCTATGGCGGCCTCTTCTTCACCACTGCCTCCAAGAACCAGAGGATGTCTATCTTGTTTGTACCTTACCTTTGATGGTAGAGTTATGCACTTGAAACAGAAGTTGAAGTCGCATTCAATGCACTCCATCATCTTTCCATTGGTATCTGCTTGTCCTTTGCAAACAGAACATACCTTGCCATCCATCGAAATTGAGATGGAGAAAAGAGGATGCGGATGGCGTATATGGATCAAGGGCTCGGAGACTGAAACACAATTCACATCTATGCTGAAATGACAATCCTCTGTGCAACACGTGTATACGAAGCCAAGACACAGCCTAAGACAAACTTCGCAATGCAAAATAGTCGATGTGTTGGCTTGTAGTTTGAGAGGGTGGGGATGTAGCATGCACCACGTCTTTTTTGATAGATTTGCACATGTTTCATGGAGACTGAAACGGCAACCAGATTGCGTGCAGCTGTAGATATTACCCGTATGAATACAAAATGGAAGAGCACATATTCTACAGTGTTCCCTTCCGTCAAAGCTTGCACCTTCCAGTTTCAGATGATGATCGTGACTGAAATGGTGTATTGTTTTCTCGTCTATAACCTCGAATGGCTCCTCGACATCTTCGAGTTCTTCGGGTTCTCCTTCGAGGTCTTTCCCATCCCACACATCTTTTCTTGTTGCACACTTTGAGTGGACGACATAATGGCAGTCGTCTTTGACGCAGGAATATGCCCCGTAATGGTCATGGACGACTTTGCGACAAACTCCACATGACCACGATGATTCATGAGGCGGTGGAGGGGGAGATGGAACGTAACAGAGACGGTGTGGTGGGTGGCGGGAGATCCTGATGAGGCGTGGTAAGTCCATACACTGCTTATGGATCATGACCCCGCATTCGAGACAAGCCCAAGGAAGAGAGGAAGGAACAGTCATTAGACCACAAGCATCACATGTGAAGGGACGTGGTTTGGGAAGGAGGAAGAGCTTATGGCAGTGACTCTTGGGCTGAGCCACCTCGAGAGCCGGTGGCTCCCTGACGTGACTGAGATGAACGCAGAAATCGCAGATCTGACAGTGATATGCCCATCCTAATCCGAGCTCTTCACCAGAATAACCGCATATAGAAGCTATAGCTCGATCAATGGGACGGAGAGAGAGAGGGTGAGTAGGGTGATAAGGGTGGTGATGGAGCTCCAATGGCGACTCTGCGCATTCCTTGTGGAAGTAACATTGGCACATCTGGCACCAGTAACTTCCAATTCCGGAGGAGTAGGACCAACAACAGCACAAATAGCAGCGGAAACATGACATATTACTCGGTGTCAAACGATGACGGTGAAAATGAAACTTGCCTTTCTCCTCCATCGCCCTCTGATTTGAGATGAGATGCTGTGTTTTTGTCTATCTCTCCATTTTCTATCTTCTTTTATATTAATATATAGACCTAAAGAAGAAGATGGGAAATGATGTAAAGACACCACCATGTGATTTCTTCACTTTCCCAGCTTCATTATATTATTTGTTTTTCCTCGTGGCGTAGGGAATATCAATGTCTTGTGAATATTTAAGATTTTGTTTATAAGAATCATTAATCAATTATTCATAGTGGTACACCTTTCGGCGTATTTGTTTAGACAAATAAATCAAATATAAATATATTTATTTGGTTTAGATTGTTAAGTTTTTTGTATTGTCAAAATTAGGGTTTTATTTGTCATATTGTAAATTCGGGTAATATTTTGATAAAATGACACCAAATTTGAGATTTTTCATGCAATTTTTCCGTTCCATTTTCGCCTACAGAGATATTTTTTTTGGTATAAAGTTAAAAATCATGCTTCTTGGCGTTTCCTATTCAAATTCAGAATTTGCGGAAACGCTGCCCGCGGTGTGAACTTTGAAGTTCCATTAGGTTTCAGTCCGACGGAAAACCAGAAGATGTACGGCGGAGATTTCGACGGAAGCGCCGCCTTCTCCGGCGGTGGTTTCATGCCTTCTCAGGCCACTACTCAGGGCCCTGACTCCTTCTCTTCCTACAAGGTAGCCTCCCTCTCGCTTCTATTGTTGTGTTTTAGGTGATGAGGGAGAAGGAGAATGAGGTTTGATGGTACTGAAATCGGTCACGTTTAGGATTCTGTAGACGCTCACTGGTATGCTTTATTCTCTTGCGCTTACTCTGTAATTATGTGATACCTTCGGTTATTCCGTTTGTTTCTCGGGAAAATTTGTAGCGGGGAAAATGGTTCTGATATCCGCTAGTGACTGAAAAAGGATCCTACTCGAGTTTGATGTGTAATTCATTGACGGAAACCCACTATGATTTGATTTTGTTGGATTGCCTGGAAAATCAGCTCCGACATAGATGACAGAACAGTCGGCAACAACTGATGTTGACTAGGGTTTTAAACTCGGTCACCCTTGGCGGGACACTATCGGCATCACCATATGGCTCTGAATAATGATATGTCTTCATGAGTGGATCATCTTCTAGGAGGCAACGGGCATGAACAGACACAACAAATGTCACAAGTGGAGGGTGGATTGGAAGATGGACCAACTCTCTCTCCTCCATCTCTCTCTCTCTCTCTCTCATGGCTATTTAGTCTCTCCTTTCTTCGTTATAATACACAGATCCCTCCACCCTCTTCTTCACGGCTGCCGCCAAGTCCAAAAGGATGTCTATCCTGCTTGTACCTTACTCTTGGTGGTAAGGTTATACATTTGAAACATAAGCATAAGTGGCACTCGATGCATTCCATAGTCTTACTGAAACAGTCTGTTCTCTTGCAATCGAAGCATGTTTTGCCGTGAAACAAATTCGACAAGGAGAACAGAGGATGTGGATGAGTTATATGGAGTAAGGACTCCCAGACGGCAGCACAATGCACGTCGATCTTGAAATAACAATCTTCTCTATCGCAACCGTACTTTAAGCCACTAAAGTACCGAAGACAAATGTCACACACATCCATCTCTGTTCCACATGTTTGTAGCTTGAGGCGATGGGATGTAACATGTACTCTTGGATCAGGGAGGAGGATTATTTGGATGAAAAGAGGAGGATTATTTAGTGTTTAGGATTTTGGAGGAGATTAGAAAATATTTGGAAGAAGAAAGAACTTGAAGATTTTGGAAGAGAAATGTTTTTCTAAATCTTTTTTTGTTTTCCTTTCTTCAAATTTGTTTGATTTCAAACTTCATACAAATACACATATTTATACTACAAATTTACACCTAACTACATATCTAACTTATTTATTAAACACATTTTTATCTAATTTTTTTCTACACATATTCTACACACTAGCCACCTCACCACACTATAATTTCATCATATTTTCACACACTAACATATTAATTATATTTCACACATTTTTATAGTAGTTTTATTTTAAAAAACCTACTTTAAAAATATTACAAAGAAAATAAAAACCGGATATCGGTCTTTTCAAATGTTTAAAAGAAAAACATTGTTCAAACTTAATGTACTTAAGTTTTAACTCAAAAATATAGGCAATAGTAAGTACAAAAATGACGATCATTTTCCTTGAAAACAATGGGGAATGGACAACGCCTTTGACATCGATGGCATAATGGTCGGCTACAACTGATGTTAGCTAGGATTTCAAACTCGGTCACCCGTCGCTTGTTGTAGTAGTAACCATCATCATCATCATCATAATCATCATCATTGAACTCTCTTGCAAATGGGTCAGAATAATGACCCGGCTTCAAGTGTGGATCCTCCCCCAGAAGGCAACTGACATGAACAGTGACACAACAAATATCACAAGTGTAATACAATTCTTCTTCCGGATTCATTTTCCCTTCACAAATCTCGCACCACCAGTTTTCTCCACCTACGGTGGCCTCTTCTCCACCAGCGCCACCAACAAGAACAAGGGGATGTCTGTCGTGCTTGTAACTTACCTTTGGTGGTAAGGTTATGCATGTGAAACATAAGTAGAAGTCGCATCTGATGCATTCCATCACCGTACTGAAATATTGTATTCTTTTGCAACCGGAGCATGTTTTGCCATACAACGAACTCGACAAGGAGAACAGAGGATGCGGATGAGTAATATGGAGTAAGGGCTCTGAGACAGCAGCGCAATGCACGTCAATTCCGAAATGACAATCCTCTCTGCTACAGTCGTACATTAAGCCACTAAAGTACCGAGGACAAATGCGACAGCCCCTCCTCTCTACTCCACATGTTTGTAGCTTGAGACGATGGGGATGTAACATATACCATGTCATTCTTGGTAGATTACCGCATGTTTCGTGGAGAACGAAACCGCAGTCGAATTGCGTGCAGCGGTAGATACTACCAGAATGGACACGAATGGGAAGAGCGCATATCTGACAGTGCTCGCTTCCATCTAACCTGGCACCATCCACCTCGTTCAATTCGAGATGATGTCCGTGAATGAAATGCCGTATAACTTTGTCATTTATAACCTCGAACGGCTCCTCCACGTCTTCGGGCTCTTCAGGCGTTCCCTCATGGTCTTGCCCGTCCCACACATCTTCTCGTGTTGCGCACTTTGAGTGGACGACGTAGCGGCAGCTGTTGGAACACAAATACGCCCCGTATTGGTTGTCGACCACCTTGCGACAAACTCCGCAGGACCATGCTTCATGAGGTGGAGGGGGAGGGGGAGAGGAAGCGTAACGGAGACGATGATGGTGGCGGGAGATCCGGATGACGCGTGGTAAATCTACGCATGATCCATGGAGCATGGCTCCGCATTGGAGACAAGCCCAAGGAAGAGAGGGAGAATCGATGGTTAAACCGCAAGCGTCGCAGGTGAAGAGGCGTGGTTTGGGGAGGAGGAAGAGCTTATGGCCATGGCTCTTGGGGTGAGCCACCTCGAAAGCCGGCGGCTTCCTGGCGCAAAGCAGATGGACGACGAATTTGCTGCAGGCAGGACAGTGATATACCCATCCTCCTCCAAGTTTTTCTGCGCAAAAACTGCAAATCTCCGAAGCTTCACCGAGATCACGATTAAGGGGACAGAGAGTGAGAGAGTGAGGAGGGTGATAAGGGTGGTGATGGAGCTCCAATGGGGATGCTGCACATTCCCTGTGGAATACGGCACTGATGCAAGTCTCGCAACTGTAACCATCCGAGTTGTTTTGTTTAGTACGACACATCTCGCAGTAGAAAATTGACATGTCACACGGTCTCAAAGGGTGAGGGTGGATTGGAAGATGGACCAACTCTCTCTCCTCCATCTCTCTCTCTCTCTCTCTCATGGCTATTTAGTCTCTCCTTTCTTCGTTATAATACACAGATGATGTTTCAATTCAATCATGAAGAGACCATGTGAATTCACTGTTACAAATTTTCGTTTTATTACTCATTCCTCGTGGGTCTGAATCTCTTCACGCCCCCCGCGACACAGCTACATTTTTTTTTATAATTTAAAAAGAAAAAAGAGAGGTTCCCATATTATTGTTCACAGCTAACGATGTTAACTAATAGTAATTACTATTTTAACGGAAAGTTATATCTTTTATTGTAATTAATTAAAATAACTATTTTTATGAAATGTTTTCTCTTTAAATTAATCAATTCAAAGTGCTATTTCCTATCTTGAAACTATATTATACATCAAAAGTGTATTTTTGTAATTCTATCTACACCACTTTTTTGAAAGCAATTACGCGTTTTGAAATGATGTAATTGGTATGACTTATAAGAGTTCGAAGGGGCATATTATTTTGTTGGTATGTATATTTTATACTCCTTTCTCCGTACCTGTCATTTTAGATTTTTTCACAGTTTTTTTAAAATATATAAAAAAAAAATGTCATATAGATCTACCAACAGTGGCGGATTTAATTTTTTTTCACTTGAAACATAATTATATATATATATATATATAATTTACAAAACTCTAAAAAAATATATCGTCACAAAAGGAACGTGTGTCTTATAATTGTATTACACTTTTTAAAATTTATCTATAATAATTTTATTTATAATCATCTAAAATATAAAATTTTCAACTAAACAAATTATATAATCATACTAGGATATTAAAAAATTGATCTGACATTATCTAAATATATAAGAATAAATTTATGAATATATTAAATATATAAAAATAAGTAAATAAAAAATATTAAATTGTTTAAATAAAAATCATAATTTTACATATATTTGATATTCTTAAGTTTTTTTTTTGTATTTGATTATGATTTGAATTGATGATGATGATTTTTCTATCCTATAAAAGAGAATCAAATTTGAAGAGTGATATAATCATTTAAAAAAAGAAAAAAAGATGAGACATAATATTTGATTAGATTTCTTCATATAAAAAATAAAAACAAAAGTAAAAAAAAATTACAACGGGGACACTTTGTTTGATATTATATTATACATATAAACAATTCTTTTTTTAAAATATGTGGGGGCCGGTGACCCCACTTGGTCTCACGTGAGTCCGCCTCTGTCTATCAGGTTTGAGTATTTTTTAATTAAGAATCAAATTTAAAATTTTCTTAAAAAACACCTAAAAAATATAAAGCGACACATGTTAAGATAAGAAAATATATTCTCTCAAACCGCAAATGGAGTATTTATTTATTTAAAATTTTCCTAACGTTTATCACTCGTCCCTTTCCTAGGCCTCGATCTCAGCACAATCCCCCGCTGTATCCTGTTTCAAATTCATTAGTTATATTACTCATTCCTCGTGGGTCTCAATCTCTGCACGCCCGGTCGGTACAAAGTTTTTTTTTTGGTTGAAATGTGAATATATTAATCAAAAGAAAGGATCAGTTACAAATATATCGGTTGCAAAACCGTATATCAAAATTGGAAACTTCCACCGTAAGGGATTGTACAAAGAGCCAACAGTAGCTAAAGATATCATGGTGGTCTTGTTAAACAAAACCAATCTTGCAAGAGCAGATTCTCTCCCGATGGCGAGCCTTGTTTGGACAAAATAATATTTCGCACTTATCGGTCGAGTTTGTATCTGAGTAAATCAGAGTCAGTTTGCAGGGAGCGGAAAATGCGATTATTCCTTTCCCGCCATATGAGGTAGATGAGCGTCTGCATTGTGATCTTAGCCAGGTCCTTCGTTGTCTGTCCCGGCTTTGTCCTGCTGCGTCAATCCATATGTGAATTTGCATGAGCTGTAGTGGAGGGTCTGACCTAAACCTGTCAGCATAGTGCTTCCATATCTCTGAACTAAATGTATATACAAAGATATTCACTTTATATACATGTATACATGCAAATAATCAGTATCACATAGAAAAAAAATTACAAATTTTTTAACAAAAAAAATTACAAATTCGACAACAATGAGCTTCTTGAACATTTATGGCACACAATCAACATGAGATGAGATTATTGAGTCAACTTAACTTTATCCAAAAAAAAAAAAACATTTGTCCTTTTGTTATGAGAATCTTTGTATTTTCTATTTTTTATAAATCTGAACACTATTAACATTCTTGGTGTGAGATTCTGAAATTATTACAGCATGCATATTTTATATAAAAAAAAACTTTGAGTCAATTTGGTGTTTGATTGTTCAACCGATAAAATGATGATGCAAAGAGTCTATCCTATTCGAATTTGAACTTCAAATTAAAAAAGAGAATATGTATATTCTAATCACATGGTATTGGGCTATATTAATCTAGATTTTGTCGGAGAACACCTTTACCTACATCCCAAAAAAGAGGTCAATATATTGCTATTACCATAATGATTAACTTGGATTCCGAAAAGGCATTCAAAATCAAAAGTATAGAAAGAAAGACCATTTGCCTCGAAAACAACGGGGAATGCGCAACGCTTTCCACGTCCGTCGGCAACAACCGATATTCGCCGTAACTTGGTAATCATCTTCCCCCGATATGAAGGAGTAACGGCCGGGCTTCACGTACGGATCCAAACGGGCATGTACAGTGACAACAACTGTCACATGTCAAGTACATTTCCTCTTCTGATTCCGTTTTCCCCTCGCCGACACTTGGATTTGGATTTGAACTTACAATCAACGAATTTGGTGCAATTTGTCAAATAGAGGTTTTCATTTGTCCAATTGTAAATTTGGGTAGTACTTTGACAAGTTGCACAAAATTTGGGATTTTTTATGGAATTTTCCCATTTTGCATACATATATTTTTTTTTGGTATTAAATTAAAAATCATGCTTCTTGGCGTTTTCAAATTCAGAATTTCCGGAAATCGCATTCCGCGGTGTGAACTTTGAAGTTCCATTAGGTTTCGGTTCGACGGGAAACCAGAAGATGTACGGCGGAGAGTTCGACGGCAGCGCCGCCTTCTCCGGCGGTGGTTTCATGCCTTCTCAGGCCACTACTCAGGGCCCTGACTCCTTCTCTTCCTACAAGGTAGCCTCCCTCTCGCTTCTATTGAGTGAAGAGGGAGAAGGAGAATGAGGTTTGATGGTACTGAAATCGGTCACGTTTAGGATTCTGTAGATGTTCTCTGTTATGCTTTATTCTCTTGCGCTTGCTCTGTAATTATGTGATCCCTTCGATTATTCCGTTTGTTTCTCGGGAAAATTTGTAGCGGGGAAAATGGTTCTGATCTCCTCTAGTGACTGAAAGAGGATCCTACTCGAGTTTGATGTGTAACTCATTGACTGAAACCCACTATTTTTCTATTGGATTGCGTGGAAAATCAGCTGGAAACTGGATGACGATGTTGGTAGCTAAGTCACAGTCACAGTAGTTCTGCTTTGAGTATTTTTAGGAAATTTCGTGCTGATTGCGTGATAACTATCTGGAGATAGTACGTAGAAACGTTGTTGTAAGAAGTTTCAGAATGAGGCATGTGGTATGGAATTTGCACCACATTTCAACTCTTACCATGTCAAAAGAATTACTGAATATTTGTGGAATTATTCAATAGAAGATAGACTGGATTTATCGAGTATTTATGTCGTCCGGGTACTGTCCTGGATTCCTCATGGAAAACAGCAAGTTACGAGTTTGTTTGTGTTTTACAGAATCGTGATGTCCGCACCTTGCTTCCCCTGACACTGAAGCAACTGAATAGTATATCTACAAATGGTGAATCAAACTTCTTCATAGATGGCGTTGAAATCAACACTGTAAGATTGTTTTGTTTTACTGCTGTTTTCACGTGCTTGTTATGTTCTGTCTTCCCTTTCATTTGGTCGATGTTTTCCTCCTCTTACTGTTTCATGTTCCATGTTTTGGTTATCAATGTATATACTTTTATTTATCCAGTCCATTATGTGAGTACATACATTGTCCATATTTAGGTTGCTATCGTGGGGCGGGTCTGTAGCATGGAGAACAGAATCACTCAGGTCGACTTTGTTATTGATGATGGGACTGGCCGAGTTGAATGTGTTAGATGGTACTTTGCTAGAATTTTATATATTAACTGGCTCAGTTTGAAAATGCTGTGAGCTAGAGAGCTTGATTTGTATGTTGCTGATTTACTGTGAGCAAATCTGCAGGGTTCATGAACGTCAAGACACAGATGAGATAGAAGCGGTCTCGTGAGTTCTTATTTGAATTTGTCTTCTAAATTTATTGAGAGTTGGGCAATATTTGTTTGTCATTTCCGGTTGTGCTTTTACAGATTGTTTGCTTTACCACATCAAATCACCGTTTCTTAAAATGTTCATGCAAATGAACGTTTGTTAGTACTGACTGCGGAGACTTCTATTCATATATCCTATGGAGTTAAAAGTATTGCATACTGTTTCCAATATGTTAATGTTTTCCCCCCTTTTTTTCTAATGAGAGCGGAATTGGGTTTTGAGTTGTGGACAAGCAAGATATGCTGTTACTGGTAGAAGTAGCCTGATCATTCTGCGATTCCTAGATGAAAAGTGTTATAACAATCTTGGTTTACGAATGTTTCTGTTTGTGAATTATGGCTACAAGTTCCTCTCTTCTATTTTCCTGCATTTAAATTTAGTATTTGATTTTGTTAGTGCCCATCTGTATTAGGCTGGGGATGTATGTCCGTGTGCATGGACACTTGAAGAGCTTCCAGGGGAAACGTTCCTTGAACATTTTCTCAATAAGGTACCTAATAAGAACCTCTGTGGAATACTTCAGTCAGCTGAGCGCTTGTCACAAAATGATTGACATAATGAACTCCAAATCGTGATTCCTTTTAGGTGATGATATGTCGCTGTGTCCTACTGTGTCCCCATATCTATATCCTACTGTACAGTGCATTGTTTTAGTTAATTATTATTCTGCCTTGAAAAGAAATAAACTCGAATCTCATGGTATCATCCAGGCCTGTCACCGACTTTAACGAGGTTGTGCACCACTTCATTGAGTGTATGTATGTCCATATGTACAACAGTAAATTAAGGGTATGAATCAAACCTACATCACAATTTAAACTTTGTTCCTTGGGTTATAATCTCTGACCTATATACTAACGTCCCTACACTACAGGGTGGTAATACTCCTAAGTCTCAAATGCCGTATTCGACAACGCCATCCTCTGCAAAGGGGTACCAAGCTGGCCCATCGAATCAGGTAGCAGACTCAATGTAGATAGCATATTTTTCGTTGATCTTCAATCTGATTTCCATGGCCTTCTGATCTTTTGAGTAATGTTTCAGTTCGCTGGCCAACATAACGATGCAATGCATGGCATAAGGCAGATGGTCCTGAATTACCTGAATCAGCCCGCTCACCTGTAAGTTCATATAACGTTTTTCTTACGGGTGAATTCTACCCTCCTACATGTTCAGAATCAAGATTCATCCCTTTTTTATGGGTAAAATAGACGATGCTCCTTTATCCTGAAAAAGAACCACTACAGCCTTGAATATTATATATATATAAATGTATGTATGTATGTATGTTTGTATGTATATATATGGCCTTAAAGTTAGTACCCTAGACAGTTGCAAACTAGAAATAACCTACAAAAACTTCCGATGTGAGTGCATTTTCTTACCGGTGAATTCTTTAGCTCTATGTCTGGTTGGTTTTTTTTTTTTTGCTAATGACGCCTTATCATTCCAGTGCGTCTGAAGCTGGGGTACATTGTGATATAATCGCCCGAGACCTTAGAGTTTCGCTGCAGAATGTCAGGTTTGTCCATGTTCCCCTGCGTTCATCATACCCAAACACAGTAACTAGGGTTTGCCAATTCGATTAATAACCGAATAATACATAACCATATCCGATATAAAAAGCAAACGGGTATGGTTCTTCTAAAACTGGAAAACCCAAATATTTCTTCAAAAATGAGTATTTATATCGATAAAAACTGAATCAAAACCAACCGAACAGAATTTAATTGTAGTATAAGAACCGAATTATTATAATTTTTAAAACCGAAATAACTTGATCCCCATATAACCGAACTAAACCGGAACCGAACTGTGGCTATGTATGTACGTATGGGCAGGGACGCTTTAGATCAACTATCAAACGATGGCTGTGTTTACTCCACAATGGACGAATCTTGCTTCAAATCAACAGCAAATGCTTGAATTTGCAAAGCGTAGATGCCAAGGTATCCCCCCCCCCCCCCAATTCCAATCATTTTGGTACCAAACGGAGTTCCCACAAGTTTTTATGAATATGCCTGCCCAGTGGTTTTGGACAGCGAATAGGCTTTAAGGTTTCGGATATCTGCATAGTCGTAGACTTCAACCTTATCCGATTTAAGTCCGATCAAGTACCTTTGGAGGAGGGTACACTGTTATGGGGCTTAGTCTTGCTTTCGAACATATGGTATTCTCTTCTATGTTTCAAGTCATAGATCGGATTAAATATTAAGGAATCACTGATTACTACGAGCCAAAATGCCCAGAAGCTTAGCAAATGAATAACAAGGATGACGATGTTTGATTGTTTTGTTAATCAAAACTATCTTCCGTCATTTTACACTTGCCCAGGTAGATCTTCCCTTTTCAATATGATTTTAGTTGATTTCGTCATTTTAAGTGTTTAATAGTATGAAATCATTAATCAAAGGGATTTGTCAAACAAAACATAGTTTTCAGACATCTCATTTCACGATAGGTCTGCTTTGTTCAGCTGACATGACTCGCGCTAGCCTCTGACTAATATATATATATATATACATACATATATAATATGCATGTTAGTTGAGATTCTCTGTTGCATCCTTGTTTAAACCATGCGATATGCATACAAGTCTGCAAATGTGATGTCAATAAAATTATTTATAAAAGAAATATTTGGAAGAAAAGGAGGCTACATGTAGCAATGTAAACAGCTACATGAAATTGCTAAATATTATAATATCGAATTTTTTATTACAAAGTTGATAGATTTATTAAACTCGGAGCAGGTTAATGTAGCTGGTTTTAGGATTTTCTTAGCATAGAAGCAAATTATATATGTATTTGCAACGTATTATGCGCTGCAAACTTTGATACGTAGAGGCGATGTGAAAAAAGATGGCGTAGGAATTCGTTAATTTTGCTTTGTCAAAGAGTAGAATGATTTTAAGTAGCCGCCGTCGGGGAACTCACGTTGATGGGTAGGTTGAAATATTCAGCCACGTTACTCTCGTTTGTTTGTTTTTCCCCAATCACCCAATGCTTATCATTCTATCTCTAATAATATAGGATTCATTTGAATCTAATTTAAAAATTGATTTAGTAACATTTTATGTAAATTAAATTAATTGAACGAAAGAAACAAATGATTTTTTATAAAATAATATTCGAATTGAATGTATGTGTAAATATAAATTGATTCCATTTGAAATTCAATAAAAACCTAATGAATTTATTTTTCTAAAAAAAAAGAGAGAGTATAAATTAAAAAAAAAAAGTTCCACTTCCAATGTGACCGTCAAATGTTCAGTTTTTCACAATCCACAAAAATTACCGTAACCAAAAGCCTGTAGACAATTGTGCAAGTTTTTAAAAAAGGAGGACAACTAAATTTATTAAAGGTTGGATCCAATAATGTTTTACACAACACCCACAAATCAGAGAATCTCGTGATTCTCTCTGGTCTTTTGATTTTTTCCATTTCAAAGAAATGAAAGAAAAAAAATCAGTCACAAGGAGAAGAGACGAAGATACGGATGTGATCCAAGAAGCTGAGATGCGGAGGACGATCCTTGCGCTTAACATATCCATTCGCCTCTTTCTCCGTGTACTCTCCGAACGATCTCCCTCCATTTCTCTTCCACAGCTCCTCCTCGTAGCTCTTGTGCGCGTAATACGCCTCCGCCCCTTCTACTTCTTCGTTTCCATCCGCCTTCGCCAATCGGATCGGGAGGCGGACGTAATGGCCGCGGCTTAACCCTTCGAGCTCGTCCAGCCGAGCCAGGCCTCGAGGCGAGACCGCGTAGAGCTCGCCGGTGACTCGGTGACCTGATCCCGGGATGTTGAGGAGAAACGGCACGCGGTAGGGTCCGCATACGAGGGGGAATTTCTCAGCGGTTTGGTAGATTCCTCTGAAGGAGGCGTCGCCGGAACGGATCAGGTCCTGCATCACGACATGGTTTGAGAATCCTCTCTTCAGCGTTCCGTACGTGAAGACGAGCGTCGTCGTTTCCGCCGCGATCGCTTCGTGTCCCATCGGGAAGAGAGGATTTGATAGTTGATGAGGAAGAAGAAGAAGAGGTAGGATCCAGGAGAATTTTCTCGGGAGTGTTTGGTTTGTGAGAAAATGAAGAGAGGGAATCAGATTCTGAATTTGTGATTGTAGAGAGAGAAAATTCAGGAATCTGATTCTGTTTTGTGCGATACATTTGGGGATACCGAAGACTCCTTTATATAGAGTGGCGAAATTCTTGAGTCGGGCGAATTATTTAAATATTTCCTTACAATAAAATACATTGGTAAAAATACCATTGATAATACACTTGAGCATTTTTAACAAATTTGGGTGAAAACGATATCAGATTATTTACTAACTTTGGGTTTATTTATTTTTTTGTTTTAAAACTATATTGTATAAGCCAATACATATAAAGTTTTCTCAAATTGGTTTTTTTCCCGAACCGAAATTTATATTTTCGGAAGAAAACAAAAAGAAAATTACAACAGAAAAGTGGCAGGGACACGTGGAAGGTTGATGAATCTGAGAAGTAGAAATAAATAAAACAAAGAGGATTCCACTTTGGCACTGAAGACAAACGTCAATTTTGCCCACCAATCTCCATGTATTTATATATGCAAAAAAAATGAAATAACATATATATATATATATATACGCATTAAATACATCAATAAAAAAGGAATGCATTTCTTCTCATCATTGTATGGTTCCGCTTAATTAAGCAATATATGTTCCAAATTCAGTTTAGAAAGATAAGAATAACATAAATTGTTAACAATAATGGTAAAAAAAATATTCGACTGTCGTAGAAATCCATATATATATATATATTGAATAGTCGTATAAATCCATATATTTTGGGTAGTTTTGTATAGATTTTGCAGTTTTGCATAAAAAACTTATAAAATTAAAAATAAAATAATGTGCAAAAATTTTATGGAGAAAGGGACCATGTGGGGGGGGGGGGGGGGGAAAAG